GTTTTGACTCTCGGCAGTTTATCATGCGGAAAAAGACGGGGGCGGGGTTCGCTTTTAAATGCCATCACACTTAAAGGAGCTGTGCAACAATTTCAGGGCTTTGCTTAAATAATTGTGGAAATTGATGCCTGACACTTCTGAAGTGAGTTACAAAAAACAGATTTTGCCTGGATACCCTATTTTTTATTTTAAAAAAAAATGAAAAAGATCCAGGTTTTTGCCGCTTCTCAACTCGTACATCGTCTTCCGGGTCACGTTCGCAGTGACGCTGATGAGGTAGGCGCGGGGTTCTGGTAAAGTTCTCTCTTTAGAGCCATCAGTGAGCAGCGAGAACTCATCCGCTCGCGACCGCGTGACCACGTGCTGGCGGGCGCCGCGCGAATAATATGGTGAAAGGAGAAAAGTTTCATCCGGGTCCAGCCATACCCGTCCGGCCCAGTCCCCCTCCCCCTCCGGCTTCTTCCGGCTGTTCGCGGTAGCAGATGAGCTGACGGTTTTGTGGACAGGATAGATGGCGCCACTAAAACTCCGTATAATAAAAGTTTTGTTGATGATGCCAAGTTTTTGACGCATTTATATATAGACGCTTTGCAGCAGCTGTGCATGGGCGCCGCCATAATTAACTGACCTTCAGTTTTAGTTTCCTCTTATTACGTTTACTTCACTACATTATTACCATAACAGGCTAGGTCATTGCCATCCTAGATTTAATTCTGTCTTTCTCCCCAGCATTAGCCTTTGTGGAGGGTCGTCCACACCAATTTCAGTGGCTCGGTATCTCGGTAAAACAAGAGAAGGTCAGCAATGGCGGCTGTATCCTGGCGCGTGTGTAAAGCGTCTATACGTTGGAACGACAAGATTTATAGAAAAGTTACCTTTTATCCAGCAGGTATTCGCACAATTTGCTATCTTTCTACAAAATTCCCCATTGACGTCATGCCGCGTGTTTCTCATGGCCGCCGCTCGCGGCTGCAGGTTGGGGAATATTCTAAGTTTTGCCTCGCTATTACGCATCGGAATCGCAACATTTCGATGAAAGGAGGTGTGTTTTCTGTCATTTGTGACAAGGTGAATAATATCAAAAGCAGAAGATGCCAATTCTTTCAACGTTAAAATCGTTGCACAGCTCCTTTAAAAGCGGACTCTTCTGCTAGCCTTTCCATGACAAAACCCGACGACGTAAGTCATAGAAATCGCAGTGCTGACGTACAATAGTCATGGAGATAAACTCTTGATGAAGATAATCAAATGCGCTCATAGGTTAGGCGTGAGCTCCGCGTGAGCTCTCGATTTGAGATCGTGACGATCAATGCCTCGTTGAGCATGCGGTTAACAGCAGTTAGCAGCTCCTGTATCTTTCCTGACTTGGCGGGAATGGCCGAACCCCGTACTCAGGGTCAACTTCTTGTCGCATTTGAGGATTTAAGAGTGCGCTTGCACAAATTTCATCGCGCTCAAGTTGTACGAGCTCACGGGCATCCATACCGTTAACTTCATTGCCACAGAAAGTTTCAAGAAAAAAAAAAGAAGAAAAAGCTAATGTGCGGAGAAAACAAAACTAATGCCTTTTAAGTAAACTATGAAAACACCTCTAAGCAGTATATAATAAAAGTTAAAACGCCGTTGCACCACCCGTTTAATCCGAAATATGGTTTCGTTTAGACCATATTTTCTATTACTTTACTACAAAATACACACACCGTTCGCTTAAGAAAAAAAAAAAAGAAATGGCATGGAACTTTTTTTTACCGTGTTCCACATCTCGTGCAATTCTTTTTGGTTTTTGGCGTCACTAGAATCAGCAAACCGAGACTGCTAAACGAGCGCGGACAATAGAGAGTTTTAGTATTGCGTATAATAGCAAACCCAAGCCCCTTACGTTAGCGTTAACGCTGCGTCCTCCACACTGCGCATGAGCCATGCGTACGTACTGCAGCGAGCTATGCGTATAAACGCTTTACACTCGCGCCAAAATACAGCCGCCATTGCTGACCTTCTCTTGTCTTACCGAGATGCCGAGCAACTGAAACGGTAGTTGATGATCCTCTACAAAGGCCGATGCTTTAGAAAAGGACACGGTTGAATCTGATATGGCAATAACCTGGCCTGCTATGGTAATGACGAAGTGAAATAAACGGAATAAGAGGAAAGAAAAACTGAAGGTCGGTTTTGGCTGAGTCCATGCACAGCTGCTGCAAAGCGTCTATACGTACGCTCGCTATCGACTTTTGCGAGCGTAGGTAGCGGTCCCCTGCGTGCCATTCTCGTTGCTCTCGTCGCGCACGAGAAAGCGCGAGACTCCTCCAGTTTGGAAAATGGCGGCGGTGGGGCAAACCAGTGGAGGTGCTACGCGCGTTGTACGGGTTCGCTTCACCATTGAAGATGACCGCAACCTTGTGGAAGAAAGAGAAACAAGAAAAGAAAAAGGGCGAGGCTCGTGGCGGGCGAGGACACGCGGGTTCGGAGCTGGAGACGGATGAAGGGGTGTCCAAACAGGACACTACAAAACGCACGACTCCGACAAATCGTGAAAATTGAAGCGGGCTTGAAGCGGGCGCGTCCGCTTTAATTTTCACGATTTGTCGGAGTCGTGCGTTTTGTAGTGTCCTGTTTGGACACCCCTTGAAAGAGCCGGTGCCGCGCAAGGCCTCATACAGAAGACCCGGACCCGGCCTCGGCCCTCCTCTTCATCGGACTCTGAACTTAAGTACAGATTAAACCTTTTCCAAATAGTAGCGCTTCCCCGTGTGACTTCCTCGGAGCAAGTGGAACTCGGCTTGATCGGGCGGTATTGACAGGCAACCCACAACTTTTTCAAAGAAATCAACGCGACGGACCCTTTCGAGCGTCCACAAAGATAGGTGTCGATAGCCAAGAACGCGGCGTCGCCGTCGAAGCCAAAAAGGTGTTTACCGTGCGGTCGGTACGCGAGCGGTGCGACTTATTGCTTGCATACTTCCAAGCAAATGACGAGGCAAACATAAGATAGTAGGGATCCCACAACACACTGGAGCGAACCATAAATCAAACTGCTAAACGCACAGCCCTAAAAAAAAAAAAAAAAAAGAGAAAGAAAAGGCAAAACACGTTTAGAACCGGCAACTGGAAAGAAATTCACGCACTTCGTATCAAGGCGAGGATATTCGCGGTGTTAAATTGGCTTGACCGAATACCCGCCTTGGATTGTTTGAAGCAGTTCGCAGGAGCACATCTAGATGGCGCTGCAAGTGTCTTTACGTATCGTTACGTACAGACATGTACAAATTACTCAAAAAAGGTAGTTAAGTTACTGAGTACCGACGCCAAAAGTAATTGGAGTAGAGTAGAAATTACGCATTTGTAATAGTAATTGAGTAAACTACTAACTACTCTAAAAAGTAGCGAGTTACTTTCAAGTTACTTTTGAAGTTACTTTTTATATTTTTGTGGTAGCAAAATGAGCAGCAGTTTTGATCAATGAAAAACCCTGCGAGCTTAAAATAAATGCAGTCTATTTATAGCTTGCGACTTCGCCAAAATAGTTTATTCGCTCGCAGAAGCAATTGACTTTCAAAGTTCTTAATAGGAGAGTTTTCCCCTTTTCCTTTTAAAAACGTCCCCAGAAGCTGAATAGACGTTCCACCGTGGCACTGAATGGAACGGCAGCGTTGAATTTGAGAAACAGGCTGTGCAGGGTCGAGTAAGCGAGTGTCGGCATCTTAGGTGTCCATGTCGAAACATGTGAGGTTTGCCTCGGGTAGAGGGTCTTTTATAACAAACTTTCCTCCTTTTTTTTGTTTCTTCGTCAAGTTGAGATTGTTATGACTGGCCCCTCTTTATTCCGAGGTCGTTCTGAGAGTACGCTGAGCGAGTGCACCAGACCGTCAAGAGTTCAAGTCTCGCGCCACGACGATGAGATCATCCGGACGACTGCGCGTCCCGTTGTAGTGCTAGTGCTACGCTACTGAAAAAAGAAATGTTTTGGTCTAATAGAAGATGAACCGAAGTATACTTCGCCGCTGACGCCGGGTTCAACAAAAGGATCTTCCAAGGGTAACTCGCAATCCTCGCCGGCGACTACAATATTCTGACACGCCTGACACGCCTGACAAGTAAATCGTTTTTAACAAAGAGGAGGTCTCCCTGGGCGTGGATGGTCGGAAGGACACGAAGGATTACGTGAACAAGCATCGTCGCTCGTATACAGTTGCAGCTGGAAGCGGGAACGTGCTTCCATGAACGGATTATCCGTGCCAGGGTTTCTGCGCGGGGGAGTCCGGGTTTGCAAAGGCGTTTGCGCTGACGACAAGGCGACCATGGGAACAGGCGCCTAGCTGCGAGGTCATTCCAGTGGCGCCTCCCGTGGAACCTACCGCTTGAGTCAGAACTCTCTAAAGACAGACAACAACTCTCGGAGTGTTCCCGTCTTTCACGGTTGCAGCTGGAAACGCGGCGCCTGCGTGCATTACCGGATTAGGTCAATACCCGACCAAGGCTTGTTAAGCATCTCTTCCTGCATTAGTGCGTGCCGGTGTTATGTATTGCTGCTCGTCGCCACCTTGACCCAAGGACGCCTTCCCGAACAAGGGGGCCCCATTTTAGGGAATGCCTCTTTATCTGTCAGCGTCTTATTCATTTCTGCGCTCAAACTTCCGTGATGGGCAAAATTAGCACTATATAATTTCGAAAGTAGTTAGTAATTTGAGTAGAAGTTACCTGAAAAAAGTAGTTAAATTAAACTACTAATTACCCAAATCAAATTGTAATTGAAAGTTACCAAGTTACTCAAACAAGTAGTTAAACTACAGTAGTTTGAGTAGAGTAGTTGAACTACGTCCAAGTCTGGTTACGTATGCGTTTGCCTTTCGCTATACTAAAAGTGCGCGTTCAACGCGCTCCGTAACGTTACGTCGACAGCTAGCGTCCGTTGTACGCAATTCTGACCCAAGGGTCTTTACGCTATTCTAAAACTCTCTAATGAATACCATATGAGAAAGAATTACACCTGCATAAAAACTCACCACTTCCGATCCGCACCAAGCTGTCACTCGGAGACTGAAAATCCGACCCGCTCACACAGCTGCACAGGCGTTCATTATGAAGCGCACGAGCCGCCCAAGACTAGACCTGTTTCCTTCCAGGGTAAACATCTCCGCGATTGCCCGACCTTCGCCGCTCAGTCGTCAACGCTTCGTGCTTTTAGTACGCCAAACTGGTATTCGCGGCGGGAACAACAATAGGGGGCGCCACTGAGCAGCACGGGAATGTCACGTGATATGCGGAATGTGAGGATGCCGGATTTGTTCACATCGCGCGCGCCATAGCGGTACGGCGTAATCGCTTCCTTTCGGACGCGGCGCGGTGATTCCTTATGGTTCTGCCACCGGTAGCACAATATACGCGATCGGAAATGGTATACGTTTCCATCCATATCCAAGTTAAAAGCAACTTGGGAAGTAGCGATAACATTATAACAGGACAAGAAGGTGTGAGCGAGCACCCGATGTTCTGCTCGAACCACTTATCAAATGCTTTCACGATTAATTGTGTTGTATTTTGTATCCTGTTTTGCTTTTCTTGACGAGTGTCAGTTTTGTCTTCTATATAGATTCCACTGGTGGGACTCGGCGACAACGATAATTTGATAATCTCCCTTTCCCTTTCCTCGCACATGTTTTTCTTTGTTTTTTGTTTTTTCTGTGTCGTCCGTGTCATCTGTTGCTCTGCAAAATGGAAAGAATTAACAGTATTCTTCATGTTGTTCTAAACAAAACGATTCCCTTCTGTCTGTTAAACAAATCGGGTCCCGAGAATTCTGCAATCGAGCCAGTCTCCTCTTTTTTTCGGTGCAGTATGTGCGGCGCAGTGTTGTGGTCGAGAAAAAAAAAAAAAGTAAACGTTTTACTATTTCGTTTATATGTAGACACCATTGGGATTATTTATATTTCGATCAATAAAAGGTGCGTTGCTCAACGTTTATGCTCGGTACTACGAGTGTTAATTATTCTAGACTACGTATGACCAGCATGGCAGAATGTCATGTAACGTCCCAAAATAGCGGCTGTGATTTCAGAGTTTGTTGTCTTTTATTTACAGTAATTATAACTGTACCACAAAAGTTCTTTCTTCACTTGCAGGTGAAGATCAAAGAAGAACGGATAAACAACACCCACCAACCATGTCAACACACAGGACTCCGGAGACGAAACTCCCTTTTATTTAATCGACTCAAGGTACCCGATACCCATCACAGTACCTGTGAATATTTGTAACAAGCCTCTTCAGATGTAGATGGACACAGACCCATCTGTCACTGTGATCAACCTGGAGAGTTTTCAATAAATTGTTTTAGACATCCAACTGAAACCTTCGGGATTAACGCTGAAGCCATACATCGGCAGGCCCATCGTTCCAGAGGGAATGGGTCAAGTGGAGATGCGATATAACGGGCAAGTCAAACGTCACGAAATACGAGTAGTGAAGAATGGGTGACCCACCATACTAGGAAGGGCATGGCTTCAGGACTTTTAAGTTAACTGTAAGGAAGTGCACAACGTGTGTGCTTAACTCTCGCAAGTGGTCTACTGAAACACGATTCCGTCTGTGAACGTCCGGGAGAACGGAAGGACTACGCCGTGGAACTCTGCTGAAAGGGGATGCTCAGCCAAAGTTTTTCAGAACAAGGTCAGTTACATACGCCCCGGACAAAGATCGAAGAGGAGTGACGTTTTTTTCGAGAAAGAGCGCATAATCACTCCTGTGGTGAGGAGTGAGTGGGCGACACCAATCGGTCCAGTGATGAAGGCAAATGAATAAGTGCGCATATGCGGAGATTACAATGTTACAATCAATCCAGCCTTGAAGTCAATCAGGTACCCACAACCGAACTGAAGATCTCTTTGTGAAGATTTCTCAAAGGGAGAAGCTCACCAAACTAGATCGCAAACAAGCATACTTTTAGGTCCCATTGGTGGAATAATCAAGAAATGTCACTGTGATCAACACACACAAAGGGTTGTACAAGATGAACAGAGTGCCATTTGGAATAACCCCAGTATCAGTTATCTTCCAACGCGTCATCGAAGAACTCGTTGGAACTTGCCGTACACAGGTACATTTCAGGATAACGTCATGGTAACTGACAAGAACAGTCAACATCACCTGCGGAACCTGGACATTGTAATGCAAAAACTAAAGAAAAATGGCCTTCGCTTAGGAAAATGGAAATGCTGCTTCATTCAGGACTCCATCGAGTACCTAGAACATGTCATAGGCATGCGAAGGATCCACGCAAATTCCAAGATGATGAATGCGATCCTATACAAGCGAAGACGCCAAGGAACTAAAAAGAACTCGGAGCATTTCTTTGGCTGCTGCACTACTACGAAAACTCCACCAGCAACACAGCTGACATCGTATATCCGCTAGAGAAGTGCTACGAAAGACAAAAGGTGGGAATGGTCGAGATCATGCCAGAGAGCCTACAACGAGGCGATGACGCAACTCACCAAGCAGAGCCTGCTAGTGCACTATGACACCGCACTTCCTCTGGAGCTGCACTGTGACGCATCGAGCCATGGCATTGGTGCAGTACTTCAACACATACTACCAAACATGTAACGGAGGTAGATCGCCTTTATGTCAAGAACGCTCTTTAAAGGTGTGCGAAACTACTCTCAGATCGATAAAGAAGAGCTGAACCTAATCAAGGCGTAAAGAAATTTCACCTGTATTTGTTTGGACTCCACGCTGTGGACAAGTCACAAACATGCGGTATCGATTTTCAACCCCAGTTAGAGTATCCCAAGCGTCGTTGCAGCAATAATACAGCAATGAGAGACCGTGTTGTCAAGGGTATGACTTCGGATTAAAGTGTGTGTCAACATATATATGAACGTAGTCGCAGACTTGCTGTCAAGACTCCCAATGATTGACAAGGGCGCTACAAAATCATAAACTACAAGAATGAACAAAATCAAATATCTTCATCTCGGAAATTTTCAAGCATTCCCATTGACAGATAAGCAGATCAGCAGTAAGCCACAAAAGGACACCATGTTGTCTAAAGTTTTAGGACTCAGCATGGAAGGATGGCCGGAAGAAGTGAATTCCGAGAACCTCAACCCTTACTTCCATCGCCAAACGGAACTCACCATGGAGCTAGACTGGTTAATGGGGGGAACACGAGTCATCGTACCCTCGAGGTCCTGAAAACCCGTTTTTAACGACTTGCATCAAGGTCAAGCAGGGATGACAAAGATGAAGAGACTGGCACAACACTCCGTGTGGTGGCCGCTCCTGGACCCTCACATAAAAAAACAATGGTCCGGAGTTGTCGATCGTGCCAGGAAATGACCAACGAGGCACCCAAATTTCCCATACACCAGTGGGTATACCCAAAAAAGAAATGGCAATGCCTGCATGCAGACTTCGCAGGATCTTTTCGAGGAAGAAATTTATTGCTGATCATTGATGCCTACTCGAAATGGCCCGAGGAGTAGCTCGACAACCATGCCATGAGCCAAGAGCCATGAACCGAGCCATGAGCTCGACAACTTAGGCAGCCACCACAAAAGTGTTTCTAACTCGTTTTGCAAGATATGGACTGTCAGAAATATATTGTGACGGACGATGGCCCGCAATTTCGATCAAAAGAACTTCGAGATATCATGACAAGAAATGGAGTGCGGCAAACTTTCTCACCATCAAACCATCCCGCAACGAACGGTGCAGCAAAAAAAAAAACTTCGTGGGAGCATTGAAAAAAGTCTGTCAACGCAAGCCTGAAGTCGGGGCTGACCATCGAAGAAGCAGGCCAAAACTTCCTGGTGGCATACCGGACGACGACGCACATGACAACTGGCTTAACACCTGCCAATATAATGACAGGAGAACTTCGCACAGGGTTCGACCCTTTTAGAACAGGGGTCTCTTATTGGCTAAAGGGCCGCATTAGGCACATGTCCGAGTCTTGAGGGCCAAAAAAAGAGTAAGCATAAAAGAGAGAAAAAAAACTGAATAAAAAACCTAGATAAGCATTTCAACACAAAAGTTATTGTTTGAGTTATTACTTCCATTTGAAATTTTGTATTTAGATAATTATAATTTTACACAAAAACTGACCAAGAAAATTAACCAGCCATAAATCCAATCGAATGGAAAATTTAGCACATTTTCCCAGTGCAACAGACTAATTAGAATAATAAAAGTAATGCTGACAGTATGCAACATTTTTCACAAAGGACACTAAGCACAATGTACATGAGAACGCAAAGAAATTTTAAGATACTTATAGGGACATGAAGCAGAGGATTAAGAAGGGTGACGCTGGTGACAAACTTTAACAAATATTTTCAGAGAGTTTTGGCGGCCAGAAGTTCGGACGTCGCGTCGACTGCGACATTCTCGTTCACTCCAATGAGGACGGGGGGTTTAGTGCAATAAACTGGTATCCCGGTCACCAGGCAAAAGTGACCCCCACTTGGCTGCCGCCCTGTCGTACAATTTTGACCACTAGACACGTGACCGTATCAAATCTTGAGGCTTTTAAGCAAAACTGAGCCATGATTTGTATTGCGACTGCTGTAAGAAACATGATAGACACTTTTTTTAATATTGTTAGCCCCAGAGATCAGTGTTTAGCACCGATAAAAACCCAAAATAGAGCACCGCGGCTAACGGCATCTAGTGGAGGCATTGGGAAGCTGCCCGAGTTTTTGTCGTAAAAGCACATTTTGGACTTCAAAGAAACGATACACAAATTATCTCGTCGGTATTTGTATTAAAGATGAATAAACAATTATTTGTGCGCGGTGCTTCGTTAAAATCTAGACGTAAAACCATAAGGTCACGTGTCTAGTGGTCAAAATGTGCAAGATGGAGGCGGCCAATTGAAAGTCACTTTCAGCTGCCAGTTTATCGCTCTAAGGCCGTCTACCTTCGTACTTTCTGCCGGGACTTCCGGCACCGACCACCAGGATCGCAGTATCCGACAGCATGACACTCCGACCTTTGTGATGTCATTCATTGCCACTTAGGAACCACTTTTGATGTACGGGCGGGATAGGACGTTAAACACACCAGTTGTAGACGCCTTCAGCAACACTACCAGAGGCAAAGGGGAAGCGCTCGGAGGCATGACGTTTAAAGTCGGGAGAAAGCTATTCTGGAAGTCGGGCTTCCCATCGGGCTTCTATTCTTTTTCGTTAATATTT